AATTGAATATATAACAATATTTCACTCCTATTGTGGTAAATCAGATTAACCGATTTACGAAAACATAATCGGGTGAATCTGGGAAGGCAGTAACCAGTCGCCTTAGGAGCCGCTTCAGAGTCCATCACCGAAGAATAACAAAACAACAACAACAATAACAACAATAACCCTGCAAACAGTTGACAAAAATATACAACTAAAAAATTGGGAAAAAATGAAATATATAACATTCAAATTCGTGATTATTGGAATTAGTATAGCTCAGATTCTCCTCTACTAGAGCTCCAAAACCACACTTCGCTAGGGCATACCACCCAGGTTCGAACCTAGGTCGGCAAATTTTTACCACCAACTCTATATCGCTCTCCAAGAAACGTTTAGTCAGAATCACTATCCTCCCCTCCTGATGATGATGAGAAATCACTAGAGCTGCGGGACTCATCCGACGTGATTTCTTCGATCAACTTCTGCGGTTTTTCCTCAATTTTAGTCGCTACTTCATCCGCGTCTTCCTCGACATACTTAAAACCGACCGCCGCCAAACACTCGTCCACGAACGACACGAAATCTGCATCGCAACTTAGTTGTTTTTCCAATGCTGCAATTCTAAAACGACCGAATGCTGGGAATCACAAAACATGTTAGATGGGCTCACCTGTCATCGGCCGAGTCTATCCGTTTTATCACTTTCCGTAGGGCAGGATGAGACAGTTTATTCAAAATAGGCTTCGAATACCGCAGTTTCTAAGAACAACTCCATGTGAAAATTCTCACTCGAGTTTGCTACCACAATATGCGCGTTAATACTAGAGTTTCACCACCCTAGTGATATGAAAAACACTAGTGAATAACATATTTCACGACTACTCCAGGCCGCGAAGTAGTCAATGATATGGTAGTCGATGATAATAATGAATCAACAATTACTATTGGCGAAAACCATCGATAAATTGTATACAAACATCGCGAGTAGTTTAATACAGCGCAAGACCCCATGCCCTTGATACCTCTAGGTCTTCTTTGGTGCAGCTACTGTAAAGTGACAATTCAGCATCTTGGAAATCATACAACTGAACACAACTTGTGAGCCACAATGCTTGGCAAATGCCTCTACTACTGGTTTCCGCTTTCTCCGTTGAGGCGCATCTTCGTCGCGACGCATGCCGCCCGTACAAGGCTTGCTAGTGTGCTCTTTATAGCACTTAATACTACAATACCGGCGTTGACAGCAAACGAATCTACATTGGTGACTCTTGACAAGTTCAAAATAGTGTCACCAATATTACTTATATTTGCCTTCATTTTTCAAGCACACCCAGCAAGTTTCCACGGACGGTCCCGATCGCCCCTGCTGGCCGCCCTTCGTCGCATTCCCTTTGCCCTTTCCTTTACCCTTCTTGGCTGCTCGGCTGCTCGATGAGGCTTCAACCGGAGGAGACGATAGGAGTCCCGGGGAGGAAGACATAGAGAACTAATGAAGTATATTGTGATTTGTAGAAAAGATGGTAACCGAATTCCTTGATTTCAAAATCGAGCGAACCGAAATACAATTCCGTGAAGTGATAGAAATATAATGAGTTCGACAGGCGCGGCCTTCCATTCACCGCCGAGTCGTTCTCTCTTCCCAGAATTGCAAACTCGCCATCGCTGTGGTATCCCAGTTTCTGGGGATTTCGGATGCTCCGTTTCGGATGTGTATTCCGCCACTACTTGCATAACACAGACCCGATCGCAGGTTCTTACCAAAAATCGGTCAACTCACACGAGAGAATAACTCGTCGAGATGCAGACAACCAGAAATCACCGAGTAGCAAAGGGTGGGCCTTACTGAGTCCACATTCGTGAGTATTCATATTCAAATCTGTGGAGACTTGGCGTCACGTACCACGAATAGTTACGAATTAGAATGTTTGTTCTGAAGTGATTTTACTAAGGGAGGCGGCCTGCAACTTTTCTAGGGAGTTTTCGTATACTTATCATAGAACTTCCACCCGCCGTACCTCTCAAGGAACAATTGCGAATTTTGTAAGAAGCAAGTGCGCGGCGTCTCCAAGGAACAACAGTCACGCGCCACGAAAATAGTTAACAGTAACAGGGCCGCACTACGTTATCGTAATTTGTGAGAATGATTGGGAGAGTGGTAGAGCGACCGACTTTTATGAGGAGGACTGTGGATCAAATCTAATTTATGACATTTTCATCAGAATATCTCCGTGTAGTACTCTGAACTGAAAAATCCCCATTACGGTTTCAGGTGTTTCGTGCGGTGTTTGGCCGTTTTTTTCTCAACGCTTGGAAGTAACACGAATGTAACTACTGAGGCCATCGTTAATACGTTAATAGTTATTATGCATTACCGCGTTACTCGTCACTCCGATAACTGCGTGTCGGGATTGTCCTCGAGAATAGCATTGTAGACATCTCTTTGACTGAACAGTAGTCCTCGTGCTCCGAGTCACTGGTGAACGCAAGTTCGTCGATGGGAGGTGAATGAATGGTGACGGACTTGATCCAGAACCCGAGTGGGCAGGTGAATCAGAGGAAGAAAGAATCACTGAGGAGAATGCAACAGGTATGTAGGATGATGAATAAAGCAAGGGGCCAATCATATCATCACGAACCATCCTCAATATGGTCCCTCCTGAAAACAGTGAATCCTGAAGAGGGTGAAGGGCGAGTGAATCCGTTATAGGGAGTTTTTCTCCCACTAAAGCGGGTGAAAGCCTGACAATAGTGAACAACAAACTCGCCCGCACCGGTATTCCAAATATAAGTAATTTTTCTACCACTCCTTCCCGAACCGATTCAACTTTCAATGATCACACACTGTCCGGTTGCTTCATGTTTGAGTAGTCAACTTGCTCACGGCCTGGTCGTGAGCAGCTGCGGTGGCCCGTCGCAGCGCTGCTGAGGGCTGATGCAGATATTATATCTTTTTCACGCCTAGTTCTTCGTTGCGTGTCTTGAAGAGACTTTTTAAAAGTACGAGGAACACGGAGGGCCTAGTAATAGCTTCCTCGGCCTTCAGCAGCAGAACCCACTGTCTAACCTGTGCACGCTTCATGTCTTGGCCCGTTTTGTAGACATCCTCCTACAAACCCCTCATTTTAGCGATATCACTTACGATGAGTCTCAGATGCGAGAGCATGCGTACGATTGCATTATTAATGACAGGATATCGCCTTTCCCGCGAGCATCCGCGACGGACGCTGTAGGGATTCGGAAATCCGTGTCGTCTCTAGTCTTGTTTTGATCAACTATTTTGTCTTCCGTTCCACTGTTTCATTGCGAGGGATTGAGTTTTCAATCCGTTAGCAACTAGCTGAAATACGCGATTCCCATAAGCAAAGCGTTTGAGTCCATAGTAGCGACTGTAGAAGAAGTGTGGGAACCTTGTTGTTGAACAATTCTGGTAGTAGGCAGGCTGCCTCAGACAGCAAGTCCTAATGTCTGTTCCTGTTGAACATGAACGAATACAACTTCTATACTGAACTCCTGGATGAGTCATCCAGGATGACCCGGAGTAACTGCTAAGGAAGCGCACGAGCTAAGTTAGGCAGGCTTACTGGCCCGAGCGTACCTCAATCGCGTCTCAGCAAAAACTATCTCAGTCTAACTGAGTGTAATCCAACACCAATTATGTATCAGAGCATGTATATGTCGCTCGCCATGTTAATTGATTACAAACCTTTGATTGGTGTTGGATTACAGTCAGTTGCAAAATTACCTTGATGAACTTCAGATTTGAACCTTGGACATTCGATATCTAGCACTACCGCCTAACCGCTAGACCAATCGCTCGATACAACACAAAAGTCGTAAGAGGACCTTCAGTTGAATTTTGTTGGCGCTGCGCGGTCGCCAGGGGTGCCAGGAGATGACGGAGTAGAGTAGAAGAGTAGTAGAGAGCTGGATCAAAGCTGTCAAAGCGTGGGACCAGACGTAGGGACTTCTACTCGATCCGAAGGTACCCCTGCTAAACCGCGGGTTGGCTCAGCCGGAATCCTCACCACGTAGAGTTCTCACTAACGTAGGAACCCAACATCACAATTAGATCTAATGGATTTGCTACTCAATCGCACTAGTGAGACCACTACATATAGACCAAGTGCTAGTCAAGCGAGATTACAACGTAAGAGCAACTGCTCCCAGTCGTAAACGACGCACGTTCACAGTCAAAGAGAGAACACGTAGCCACAGTAAGCTACGGTTGTCTAGTATCAATCTAGAACTCTAACTCTCAGATAGAACAGAGGTGTTCAATCAATCTCATCATCTTCAACGTGAGTGAAACGTCCAGCCGTTTCAACACCAAGATACGTTACGAAGATACGCCATCATCTTGAGCACTTAAGTCGTCTTGGTGGATCCCGCGCCGGTTTCGCCAAGAAACCCAACCCATCGCCTCAACAAAAATTGCGCGCGCTGGGGTGGGGGCCCCGGGCGCGCGCTAAAATCAAACCGGCATTACCTGCGGCTAGAGTATATAGGCAAAATGAAGCCGTCTTCTCG